TTTAATTTTGAGTTCTCTTCAGGATTTGAGGAACTGGGGGACTTGTCAGTAAGCATATTCAGAAGTAAGTAAGGGGAAGCCACCTGGCATCTTAAGTATGTGGTCTCGGCCCGTAGGTGTGAGTGACACTGATTTCAGATCACAAGGCAAGGCCTCAGTACAGAACAAGCTCAGACCGGTGTCTTTTGTCTGCAGGAAATCAAATCGTTTGGAGGATAAACTCTCCCACTTTTATAATTAGGAAACAGTCCGTAGCATGGAACATTACAGTTCTTTGTGTTTGGAGTAGTTGTTTTGGGGTTTGCTTTGTTTTTTTTTCCTTCCCCCTACATCGACCGATGTTCTTACAAATCCCAACTTCCCGGACATTGACCCGAGCACAGGCCAGGGTCCTGCTGTTTGATGCTGCTGCTGGTGGCTACATTTATGCTTTCTGAGGTCTAATTCCCTCACTTCTCCAAAGATGTGAATGACACAAAGCTATATTCTCATGCAATGAAAAGACCGTTTTAAAAAAATAAAATTAAAAAAAAGACAGCTTTATGTAGTGTGTATAAGCTGAGACTTTTTGTGCTCCAGAGTACTAAAGCGATTTGATCTCTCAGCTTCTTTCTTGACATTGTTATTTCAGAGGTAAGCAAGGCAAATTATCCAGAGCGATGTTTTTCCCATTTCATTTTGTTTTGCTTTTAAAAGCGTCATACCCACAGTAGCAAGGAAAGGTGATAAATATTAATCCTTTGGGAGCTTGTGGTTATGAGCCATTTTACTTATTGGAACTGTCTCCCCTAAGCACTTTTCATTTTCATTTTGAATTAGTAAATATTTTATTACAAGTCTAGAGATGGGGTTTTTTGACTCAAGTCCTTTTTCTAGGGGTGCTCTGTCTAATCCCATAATTCTGAGTAATGAGTCCTGGCTTGGAGCAAGCTGGTTTTGTTTCAGCAAAGAGCTGGCTGAGAAAATCACTTAGCCACACGGCATTGTCATCGAGCCCAGTTCTGCCTTGGACGTGCATAGCTTGATGAAGTCCTTGGGTTCATGAAGTGGTGTCTGGCTCCTGTAGACACAGCAGAGACCCCCTCACCCTGACACCCAGGCAGGGGCCCTCATCCACCAGCACAGGGGCGATTCTGTGTCCTGAAGGCAGTATGGTTTCTTGCTCCGAGTGTGTGATTCTACTGAGCAGGGAGGTGCCCGTGGGGGACCTGGCCAACAATGGCAGCTCTGCACGCGTCAGGGCGCAGCCCACCAGCCCTTCCTTGCCACAGGTCTAACATCCCACCGACCATCAGCAGGTTAGGTCCCAGCGTCCTGTTGGGTTTCAGGAGAAAGCAAAGAGCTAGTAACTGTTGCCTTTCTTTCTCTTCCCAGCCCCTGACTCCTGCTGAAGATGCTGCATTTCCAAGGGAAGCTACGTGGGCACGCGAGTGACGGCCGACTGAACGTGATCTCGCTGGGGGGACGGGCTGTGCATGTCTTGTTCAGAAATTGATGATGCCAGTAAACTAAAGTGTGGCTCCCTTTTGCTGGTGGGACTGTGTCTTCTTCCTGGGCGTTGACTACACAGCTGCAGTGCTGCGATTATGTGCAGGGACTCTGGAAAAAAGGGGGTGGGTCAGATCCAATACCTGGTACCAGAAACCGCTTGGAAACTGCCCCAGGTTAGAAAGGGTCTGTTTTCCGTGTCATTGAATGGCTGTCCACGTCAGCCACTGTCACCGAGGCCGGCTGGTCCCTTATCTTTGATTTGCAGAAGTCACGTCTGGCGGGTCATTATCCACTGCTGCCCTTCAGTGGAGGTCTCAGTGGTGCTGCTGAGCCAAAGCCTAGATGGCAATCATTACTAAAAGCATAGATTAGGAGAACACATAGGTAACCAGCTCTGATTTTTATTGTGCACTTAAGACCCGTCAAGAAGGACGGCTAATGATAGACCGCACGTAAGCACCAGCTGCTTTTCATACCGCTTAATAAACGCATCTGTATTCAGGGTGCAGCCCTCGGAGGAAATGAGGCAGAGCTGTTCAATAATTTGCTTATTGAGCTGACGGCTGAGCTGAAATTAAAATCGAAGGTTCATGCGTGTGGCGACCACAACAGTTGCGGGTGATTTAGTCATTCATTAAGTGCTTAGTGATGAAGAATGGCTGGAGCTGTTTGGTTTCTCTCCTCCTGCACCTTGCAGGCGCCTGGCCAGCTCAAACCCCGCTGCTGAATTCACTTCTCTGTTTTACTCTTTGGAGAAAGTGCTGCTGGGCATTTTGAAACCCACTCCCACATGCATCCTGGCCAAGTTCAAGCCGAGGCACTTTAGCTGACCCCCAGCAGTTCCGAGGGTCAGCTGAAAGTGAGCCCTGGCCTGTGACCTCCAGGACTGAAGAATCCCCCAGAGCAGTTGCGCTTGGAGTCCCCTGCTTGGGTGACACTCCCCTCCCTGTAGGCCTCACCATTGGGCTTAGAAAGCATTCTTTGTTAACAGGGATGGGGATGGATGGACCGCAGGGTTTCAGGGTCTTTCTGAAACAGAAGTCACCAAGAGACAGCAGGCTTAGTCATTTCCAAGTACAAAATCTTTGATTAGGAAGGCGCATGGGACCCACAGGTGTGGTTCAGATGGTCCTCTGGTACACAGGATTGGAGCAGCCAAATAAAAGACAGCCTCGCAAAGACACCAAGCCCATTGCTGTGATTGAAAACATGTGAGTGAAGGATTGGAGGGTGAAGCCCAAATCGGGTGCAGGTCTCTGGCTGCAATCACGCTTCTCTCCCCCTCCCCCAGCTCCACAAAGCGAGTTTCCCAGGCAGCCAGCCATGGAGCAGGTAGTGGCCTGTCCAGTGTGAAGTACAGACTGAAAGAAGGGTCGCCGTGGCAACCACGCTGCCAGGGCCAACTCTTCAAAACAGGCCGCTCTTGGTTTCTAGTTCATTTCCTCCTCATCTTCTTCACCATGTGCGAGAGGATGATGAGGTGCACTTGAAATCTTTCTCATTGTTCAGATTAATCAGCCTGGATAGTTGGGCTCCAAGAAAAAGAATTTGTTTTGTCTGAAATAATGCAATTTAGCCGTTTAAAATTGAGTATCTTTGTACTTTAACGATTACCTTTGAGCAAACAAGTCTTTGCAACATTGTAAGTCGGCCACAGTGTGCATATTGGGGTTTTGTTTGTTAGCTTGGTTAGGGTGGGATTTGTTGTTAAGTGCCGGCAAGTCGTAGGGGACTCATAGCGACCCTATGAACGAAAGTCCTCGACACTTGGCGTGAGTTCACCCTCTCTCCAGGTTCACAGGGTTTCCCGAGACAAGCTATTTACAAGAAGTGGATGCTGCTCCTGCTTCTGTAGCTTCCCATCAATCTATTTCATTGTCTTGTGTTTATTTGTTTTTTCCTTTTTTAGATTTAAGGAGGAAAGTACAAAAGGAAGCCTGCAGCTAAATTCTGGTCCAATCCCAAAGTCACTTGATCTCTAAGAACTTTAGTAGGAACCTCAAACTCAGGAGAGCTGCATGTTCTTTGGAAATTGTCTTTTGTCTTTAGTGGCTCCAGCCACGAGCAGAATGTATTTAAAACGGTTTTACTTGAGCATTTAGGGTTGGGGTTTTTTTGGTGTTGTTTTGGGTTTTGGTTGGATTTTGTGTTTATTAATTTTTTGCCGTTCTTACTTTCTTTGGCGGGCGCTCTGAGCCGTCAGCTCAGCACTCTCCCATGTGCTGCTTCCTCCAGGTGGACACACACAATTCTCAGAGTGACCATTTGTCACCAGACCACTTTATTGATGCCAGGTGCCGCTCAGGCCGGGATGTGTCCCATCGTGCATTACCCACGGGTGGAACCATCAGCCCTGGGCCCTCTGGGGCTGGGAGCCCCTTGCAGGCAGCTGTGCATTAGGACTAGGTGGACAGTAATAAGGCGTCAGATGATTTGATTACACTCTGGTGTGTTCCATTCTGTTGTAATATGTGCAGATTAAAACCGTGTAATGGCGAACACTGTGTCCTCATGCAAACATATATGGCAACTTCTGCAAATTAATTTGAACTGTAAAAATTCCCTAATGAAAAAAATATATAATTGTTTTAAAAAAATTCCCTGGGAGCTCTGGTGGCCTAGTGGCAAGACGCTGCAGTGCAATCCCAGAGGTATGCGGTTCAAATCCACCAGATGCTCTGCAGGAGAGGAGGGGGCAATCTCCTCCTGTACCAGCCAGACCTGATTTGACGGTACACATAAAAATAATACAATAAAAAAATTTTAAAAATCCCAAAAGTTCCCTAATGAAACAGCACCCTCCCTCCCTGGGAAGGACATATAATGATTCTGGCCTGTGAAGGGCCACCATTTCTCAACAGAGCGCCTAGCAGAAAGAATGGGCACTTGAACAGAGCTTGTAAGAGAGGGCCAGGGGCTCCCTGAGGGAAACTGACCATAGGTCTCTAAGGGCAACCCCGGTGCGAAAAGCCTAGCACTGGAGAGAAAGATGAGATAAGGGCGCCCTTACTTCTAACCAGCTGTTTACTTTTTCTTTTGCAATCCGGTGTTTTTGCTGCTCTCGGCGGGGAGTTTGCTGAGGTCAGCACGGAGCGGACTCGCTACCACAGCGTCCACCTGGTGTTTCCGTGGGCAGATGGGCTGCCAGGGACAGGAACCTTGAGACTGGGGGCCTTTCTGGTTTAGGCAGACACAAGGGGCCAAAGGCAGGTCTTTTATTAGGAAGCGCGTCACACACAGGAGGCTCCAGGCTGGATGCTGCAGCGTACCCCGCACGTCCACACACGCAGCCCCATCCTGGAGCCATGCGGTGCACACAGTGTGTCCCCGAGATGCATTCCGGTAAACACACTTTGCAATTAAAAAAGCAGTGAGTGGAGTGTCCGTGGGCCAGCCAACCCTTCCAGGTGACCTGTGGGTGCCCCGGGGCCAGCCCTCCTGTGGCGTGGTGAGCTGTGGGGGTGAGGCGGTGCGTGGTGTCCTTTTCCGCGGGCACTGCATCCTGCCTACTAAGGCAGCTCCTCCTCTGTCGAGCCTTCCTCCGGGCCCTCGTCCTCCCCCGGGCCCGTCGTGGCGTCCTGGAACTGCTGGTACTCGGACACCAGGTCCTGGATGTTGCTCTCGGCCTCTCCAAACTCAGCGATGTCCATGCCCTCGCTGGTGTACCAGTGCACGAAGGCCCTCCTCCGGAACATGGCCGAGAACTGCTCGGCCAGGCGCGTGAACAGCTCCTGGATGGCCGTGTTGTTGCCGATGAAGGTGGCCGCCATGCTGAGCCCCCGCGGCGGGATGTCGCACACGGCCACCTTGACGTTGTTGGGGATCCAGTCCACGAAGCAGCTGCTGTGCCGGGTCTGCACGGCCAGCAGCTGCTCGTCCACCTCCCGCGTGGACATCCGGCCCCGGAAGATGCAGGCCACCGTCAGGTAGCGGCCGCGCCGGGGGTCGCAGGCCGCCATGGTGTTGCGCGCGTCGAACATCTGCTGCGTGAGCTCGGCCACCGAGAGCGCGCGGTACTGCTGGCTGGCGCGCGCCGTGAGCGGGGCGAAGCCGGGCAGGAAGAAGTGCAGGCGCGGGAAGGGCACCATGTTGACGGCCAGCTTGCGCAGGTCGGCGTTGAGCTGGCCCGGGAAGCGCAGCGACGTGGTGATGCCGCTCATGGTGAGCGACACCAGGTGGTTGAGGTCCCCGTAGGTGGGCGCGGCCAGGCGCAGCGTGCGCAGGCAGATGTCGTAGAGCGCCTCGTTGTCGATGCAGAAGCACGCGTCGGCCGTCTGCAGCAGCTGGTGCGCCGCCAGCACCGCGTTGTACGGCTCCACCACGGCGTCCGAGACGCGCGGCGACGGCAGCACGCTGAAGGCGTTGAGGATGCGCTCGGGGAACTCCTCGCGCACCTTGTTGAGCAGCAGCGTGCCCATGCCCGAGCCCGTGCCGCCGCCCAGCGAGTGCACCACCTGGAAGCCCTGCAGGCAGTCGCAGGCCTCGCTCTCGGCGCGCACCGCCTCCAGCACGCGCTCGATCAGCTCCGCGCCCTCCGTGTAGTGGCCCTTGGCCCAGTTGTTGCCCGCGCCCGAGTTCCCTGCGGGGTGCAGACGGCGAGGCTGCAGCTCGAGCCCCACAGAGGCCCCAAGGGAAAAAGCTGCCTGTCTGGCCATCGGGTGGATTCTGACCCTGTCGCGTCCACCCCGTGGGGCCGAGCAGAGCTGCCCGTACGGTGGCCACGGCCGGAATCTCGGTGGGAGAAGCTAGTGGGGTCAGAGCACCAGCCTTCCCGGTAGCAGCCAAGCACTTAGACACTGCACCACCAGGGGTCTGCTCTTCCCCTTATAAGATCATTGCCACTGAAAACCGGCTGGAGGGTCAACTATGGCTCCTTCCGAGGGGAAAGCACACAACAGAAGCTCATGTAACATCCACGGTAACGGTGCCATGGCCAGAGCCAGTGTGTGCTCGCCGGCTGAGTCAGTCTCCACAGCCTCGGAAATCAGTGGAGGGGCACAGAGCAGGGCTGCTGGTGGTTTCTGACAGGGAGGCCTCCTCCTCCTCCTCCTCCCTTTCTCCTCCTCCCCTCCTTCTCCTCCCATCTCCCTCCTCCTCCTTTCCCCTCCTCCTCCCCCTCCTCCCCATCTCCAGGAGTGAAGAGCAGGTCCAAACCACCACCCTTCAGATACCCATTTCTAACCCTAACCCTATGGGGCAATTCCATGCTGGTCACATGGGGCTGCTGGGAGTTGGAGCCGGACAGTGGCAGGCAGGCACTCAACAACAAGCCACGAGGTTGCCTTGACCATTAGGTTGGGGTGGGAGAGAGGGCACCACTAGGAGGCACCTTGAGCTCTTCCCGGTGGAACCTTCTGGAAATACACACCATGAATAAAGTTGTCAGGCTGGAAGAGGGCTCCGTGTTTGCTAGAGCGGATGCTGTCCATCGTCCCAGGCTCCAGGTCCACCAAGATCGCTCGGGGCACATACTTCTTGCCTGTGTAGTGGGAGAAGTCAGCAGACTGGTGATCTTCCACAACGTACTTCCCCCTGGCTCAGCTTTTAGGCAGACAAGCCCATGGGATGAATGATAGTGCCAAGGAGTCACCTGGTCCTTAGAATGACTAGCCAGGTGGAGTCAGAATCCATCTCATTGCCTCCCTCTCAACCCTCGATGAGACAGATTGGCACTGTGGCGCCAACATTGGGCTTGAACATGACCGAGGTCTGTCTAGACAGCATCTAACAACAACGCGGGATGAGAAGCTCCAGGACGGAGCTCGGAGGGCAGGAGGCGAGATGGAAGAGTCCATGGGAATGAGACTTTAAAAGCAAACACAGGAGGAGGTGGAGAGGGCTATTACAGTGCGGGCCCTGTAACTAGTCTTAAAAACAAGATGCTGGTGATTGGCTGAATGGAGGATCACTTTGCCTTGTGGACTGTCACTCAAATCACAATTATTATAAAGCAGATAAAACAAAAATTAATGTTTCATCAAAACAAAACCTGGTGCTACTGGGGGAAGCAGAAAAAAGAAAATCTTTGTTCTGAATGTGGGTCTTTGTAGGTGGAATTTCCTCCCTTCTATCAGACCTTTCTCATCCAGTCACAAGGTCTATAAAATCCCTAAAGCAATTTCAGCATCCTTGATTTCTTAGTCGTGTGGCCCATGATGGAGAATTTGGCTTTCCCTATTAGAATTTATTCTGGTTTTTACTTAAAAACAAAAAAGAGGGGTACGTGCATAAATAAGGAGCCCTGGTGGCATAGTGGTTAAGTGCCTGGTGGCTAGCAACAAGGTCACTGGTTCAAACCTACCAAAGGAGGAGTCTGCTCCCACAGGCCACAGCGTTGGCAAGCTGGGCCAGCGAGGGTCAGCACCCTGCCTGTCGGACGGCCCAGCCCCCACCCCGGTACGCACCGTGGGCCTCGTTGTAGTACACATTGATCCTCTCCAGCTGGAGGGCCGAGTCCCCGTGGTAACTTCCTGTGGGGTCAATGCCGTGCTCCTCGCCAATCACCTCCCAGAACTGAAAGCAGGGGACAAGGTCAGTGTGCAGGACTGGGACCCTGACCCCGTGAGTAGGAAGGAACCCGGACTGCAGCACACCGAGCTGCCCAGCTCCTCTCTGGCTCAGGTGGCCTTGTTGCCTGAAGTGCCATGGGCTGTTTGCAGCCTGAAGGCCAGGGTTCAAACCCACCCCACAGCACTTGAGACTGACGATGTCTTCTGAGCACGGTAGAACGAAAGATCACGTGGTCCTGCGTCATCCCCAAGAGTGACAACTGCAGGGGCCCTACATACGGGGTCCACCCCGGAACCCACTCAGTGGCAGCAGCCGTGATGAAACCAACCTTCACGGGCTGAGCTCTCTGCCACTCCCACCACCTCGCACTGCCCCAACTCCTTGAAGAAAATGTCAAGCATATAAAACATTAAATTAGACCCTGTCCTATTAAAATTCATACAGTGTCCACACCAAAGCTGTAGTTTGCTAATTTCACATCAGACCGGTTTTCTCTAACTTCACCTGGTAACACTCCAAACCGGTAAAGTGTGGCTCCCACCACGAACAAACAGCCCACATTTCTTTCTGCCCCACAGTCATCATGTCTCTTTTCACTCTCGGGGTTTCATTTTTGTGCAGTGTTCCTAAAAGCTCATTCAGGCCAGCTCGGGGTGGGGGTGGGTTCAGTGTGGTGCGCTTTAAGGCTCAAGAAAGCACTTGTTGCCAAATTACACCTTGTTGTTGTCCCATAACCACAAAACCACCCTGCACTGTGGATCGGATGGGATGGGAGTGGCTTCTTAATGTAGATGAGCAAAGCTCTGGTGGGGTGGAGATGGCCCCTCGGTTGTGGTTGTCGGGGCACAGCTGAAAGACCCCCTTCTGTCAGAGCCCCCAGTACTCTCCCAACCAGAGCTTGGAAGTGGCGCCTCCGCTCTGGACACAAGTAGCCCCCTACTCTGAATCACCACCACTGTGCAGAGGAAGAATATATATGTCGGTTCCCTGACACCACTCATTAAACGTGCCTTGATGGCCCCAAATACCAGGAGGCCACCGGGTGGAGTTGCAAGTGCTAACTACTGGACACGATGACCGCTGGGGTGAAAGTGAGCCTTATCTAGACCCTGCACTCCTTCCCACCAGCCTGTCTCCTCCATGTCTCCCACTTTCTGAAGAGGGAGGCGAACCACGCACCCCCAGCGGGCTTGGTCATCTTGAATGTCTAATCACAGAGAGGGGAAAGAACGTGACTTCCTCTCAAGCCTAGGTTTCAGACATGCCTTTATTAAAACACAGGAAGCTCTGGTGGCCTAGTGGTAAGGAGTTGCCCTGTCAGTCCAAAGACTGGCAGTTCAAATCCAACAACTTCTCTGAGGGAGAAAGAAGGGCCGTCTCTTCCTGTGTGATTTACAGCCTCTAAAAAGCTGCTGGAGGGTCAGCTGTGACTTGGTTCTAATTCCATGGCAATGAGTTTGAGCAGAATTCTCTAAACTGATCAAGTTGGCAATGTCAACCTGGACAGGGACACAGGAAGCGGGGGCAGGGAGAGCATGTGTGTTCACGGGGGAGGGGCACCTTGGAGTAGGAGATTGGCTACACTCCAGGCTGGGTGCTCCCTGAACTGGCCTGTGACTGTCGGGGAGCTGCTTGCCCCACTATGTACGTCTCAACAGCAAAAGTAGATCTTCAAACATGAAAGTAGACATACTGTCCTTATACTGTCCTTTCCAAAGCAAAAGGAAAGGCCAAGCCCACGAGATCAAGTTGGTTCAGACCCACCGCTGCCCTCCAGGTGCCTGCAGTGTCCACATAATATGCGCGCAGACTGCCACATCTCTCTCAGGCCAAACCGAAGAATTCTTGTCCTCCAGACCAGTGGAAACAATTTTCAAACCGTCAAGAAAACAAGCTAGTCTGTCTTGGAGGAAGTGCCCCTGAGAGGCAGAGGTGGTAGAACTCCATGTCACATGCTTTGGATATGTTACCCCGAGGGTCCAGTCCTTGGGGAAAGGCATCATTCTGGGAAGGGGAGAGGGGTCAGTGAAAGAGAAGACTCTTAGAGAGAGGAATTAGCAAAGTAACTGCAGCGGTGGGCTGGAGAGGAGATTGCAGGGATGGTCCAGGATTGGGCAAGGCGTTGACCTGTGGCTCGTGGGGAGCTTAACTTCAGAGTGGACTGTCTGATGACCGACCACATCTTTGCTCCTCCTGCATCCGTAGGCAAGCAGTGCTTGATCTGTCTCGCGTTACAGCATAATGAGAGGAAAGCTGCTGGTTCAGTGGTTAAGGAATTCAGCTACTAACCAAAAGATTGGCGCTTTGAACACAAAACGACTCCTCTGTGGAAGGGACAGTGAGACTGACTGCATCCAAAGAGACTGACCATCTTAGAACGCCCGTGGGCTGGCTCTGCTCTACACCACTGGCCACCATGTGAGTTACAGGTGACTCAGTGGCAGGGAGCTGTCTGTTTGCCTTGTTGGAAGATAAATGCAGGAGACAGAGGAAGGGTATCTTTGTCAGAAAGAGCACAGTTTCCCAACAAAAGATGTAGAATGGCTGTACCACAAATGATGGTTTTTAGAAATGATGAAAGCAAAAAGAATTGACTTGTGTATTAGGGAAATGTTCCCATGGACAAAAGCCCCATATGTATGTATCACTGCCCTTCAGTCAGTCAATCCTGAACTTGAGCTGTAGACCTGTCCCAGGGGTCTGCCCAGACGCTGTCCAAGGCTGCACTCTGTATGTGAGCAGAAGCCCCACCTTCCTCTGGGAGATCAGCCAGTGGGGTCGAACAGAAAACCCCTGTCATTCATAGCAGTGAAAGGAAGTTCAAGCCTCCAGAATGTTCTTTCAGGACAGACATGATAGAATTGGTCAGCAGATGTAAGATAGATGCAATAGAACGGGTCATCTTCAAACTAGGCCTGAAGACCCAGCATGTTATCACATCTTGGTTTCAGCCAATTAAATTAGGTACTTTGTAGAAAAAAAAAATTAAAGTGAGGGGGAGAAAATCCATCTCTACTCCAGAGGGTGTATTGCACTTGGTTCTGCTGTTGTACAGGATATCTTTCATTTAGGGTCACTTCTTCAGTTTGGGTGGCATGTGAAAGAAAGCACATTTGTGTCGCTTTGTTTAACATGCACGTAGGAACCCTAGTGCTGCAGCAGTTAACAAATGCAGTTACCAACGGAAAGGACGGCAGTTCAAACCCACCAGCCCGTCTAGGAGAGGAAAACAAGACAGTCTGAAAGATTTACAGCCTTGGAAACCCTGCAGGGCCGTTCTGTCCTCTTCTGCAGGGTCGCTGAGTGGAAACTGATGAGAAGGTTGCGGGTTTATTTGTCTTGTTTGTTGTAACATAAAAAAGCAGGTAAGAGAGAAAAAGCCCTTAGTGATAAGATGTGCAGCCTCCTGATAAAAAGGTGAAAAATTATGGTACCGTAAGTTCTCACTGTTAGATGTGATGAGTGGAGGAAAGTTTGTCTAGTATGTTATATAGACGTCATTGTGGACAGAACTGAAAAGCTGATACACATGCACCTGCCATCTGGCCCGCTCCGACTCAGCCTGGAGGACGGAGGACTGCCTCAGAGGGTTTCTGCAGGCGGGCTGGAAACTTGGGAGCACGCTGTTTCATCTTTCTCCCACGGAGAAGCTGGTAGGTTCGAACCACTGACTTTTCAGTTATCGGCTCTACACTGAACCCAGAAACTATTCATCAGACTAACTTGTTAAGCTTTTTCTGTCTCCTCTGTCTTTGACACAGTAAAGAGACTGCCTACTGAATCGAGTCTAGCAAGTACAGATAGGACTCTTGTGGGGCCCTGGTCTCCCTGCTAATTCACCCCACTTTCTCCGGGCTGCGCCTACGTTCACTGTGAAGCGAATGCACGAGCCTCTCACCTTGGACCCGATCTGGTTCCCGCACTGGCCGATCTGGATGTGCACGATTTCACGCATTGTGGTTGGTGCCCAAGCGGAAGCTGTCCACGGGTCCTCAGAGTCCAAAGAGTCACTGGTCACGGTGTGAGCCTGAGGACACTCTGGTCATGGCAGTTCTGGGCCAGCTGACCAAGCCAGACGTGCAGTGTCAGCCAGGGTGTGTCCAGGGTGCACCCAGCCCCTCAGCCCCTCCTTGCTGGGCTGCTATCACACTGGGCCAGGGGATGAGCCTTCTATTCCCACAGAACATTGCCTGGTCATTTCCTAGCCTGCTGACCAGAGACCGCCCCTGTACACACACCCCAGAGGCCCTGCTGCCCTCCGTGGTCTGACTGGCATGAGCCCTGAGCTCCTAGCTGTTAATGTAAAGCCTGCAAATGTGATACCTGCTCCGACCTCAATGCCTTGCCCACATACACCACCACGGACTATCCCCCTATGTGCCCCAGTCAGAAGCCATCTGTCCAGTCCAATTCCTGGCAGGTGAGCCACGACATCCCAGAGCATGAGGTGACTTGGCCATAGTCACCCATCCAATAGGACTGTCCACCTCCCTCTGCACAGCCTTCCAGACACTGGTGGTCTTCAGATCTGCTCCCCGTGGGCAGTGTGAAGACATCGGTGTGACCAGACAGCTTTGGGTGTGTGTGGGGGGCAGTTTGTGTTTTAAGATGTGTCTTCACTGTTCATCCTCATGCCTGGTAAAGTAGAGGGGGAGCGGGAGATGGGAACCCCTCAGCAGGATGAACTGACACCGGGGCCGCCCCGAAGGCTCAGGCAGCGCAGGGCTACGAGCACGGGCAGCTGGCTGGATTTCGGCTGTATGTGGGGTTGCTGTGACTTGTTGCCAGCACCCAACAACAACAACAACACTTTATTAGGAGGAGGAGGAGAGCAATGTCTACGGCTGTCTACCAAGAGCGAGAGTGCAGACTGGACCACTGTGCTGTTACTCTGAGTCACAACACCTAACAGCCACCGTCAGGAAAGGTGTGCTTCAGGGGGTATCGGTCCTCGTACTGATTCAGTCGTGTGCTGAGCTAATCACTGGAGAAGCTGGACTCTATCAAGAAGAGGGTGGCGGCAGCAATGCAGGAGGATCCACCAGTAACCTGCGTTCTGTAGAGGACACAGCCTTGCTTGCAGGAAGTGGAGGACTTGAAACACTTGGTGCAGAAGATCAAAGACTAGAGCCTTCAGTATGGATTACATCTCCAACGACAGAAGTCCTCACTGCTGGACCAATGTTCTAATTAGGAATCGTGTTAATATAAAGAGTAGCCTGTGTCTGACCCGAGGCGTGATTATCTCCAACTGCTTCATACGCATCTGAGAGCTGGGCCGTGAATACGGACGCCAGAAGAAGAAACCAGGCCTGTAAATTTTGATGTTGAAGAGTACTGACTCACCCACAGACTGCCAACAGAACAAACCAACCTGTCCTGGAGGAGATGCAACCATCCTTAGAGACAAGGATGGGGAAACTTCATCTCAATTCAGACTTTGGTCCTTGGAAAAAGACATCGTGCTGGGAAAGGTCGTAAGAGAAGCCCCTCAACCAGATGGGTGGGCACAGTGACTAACAGTGGGCTCAGGTATGTCAGAGACCGTGAGGATAGAGACAGGAGAAGGCTCCCAGCTGTTCATAGGGTTCCTCTGAGTCTACTTAAGGGCACCTGACAACAACAACAGTGATCGTAATGCAGAGTCTCTGGGTGGCACAAATGGTTAGCACATTGGCTACTATCCAAAAGGTTGGAAGTTCAGGTCTACCTCCAAGGTCAATTGCACAATAGCGCGATACAGTCGGGGGAGGGAGCAGTAACTCATTCAAGGGAGCGCTCTGCTAACTGCAAAGTCTTTCCAGGCGTTGAGAAGCTTTGTGTCCCAGAGCTGCTCCAACAGAAGTATCAGAAGAAGGGAGCTTTATCAAACAGGAATTTATTTTCTCACCGTTTAGAAGTTTGAACTTGGGGTGCTGGGTGCCAGGGAAGGCTTTCTCTATTCTCAGTCTCTTTTCAGCTTCTCTTTCTCAGTTCCTTGGACAGTTCATGTGACACGGTGTTTGCATGCTTGCTTAATCAACACTTTTATATCTAAAAAACCCCCAAAACCAACTGGTTTAAGCATACCATTCATGAAGTTTCCTCAGCAGCCCCACCTGACACTGGAATTTGAAAGGAATCTGTGTCCTCTAGGATAGGGCCATTAACATCTGGGCTGTTTTCATTAAGCTTAGAATTGAGCCTGGTGGACTAGTGGTAAGGCATCGCACTGCCAAGCCAAAGGCACGTGGTTCAAACCCACCAGCTGCTCTACAGGAGACAGATGGGCAACCTCTTCCCATGCGATTTACTGCTTCTGAAAACTATGAGATGGTTCTAAGTCAACAGTTCTCAACCAGAAGAAGAATTCAAGCCAGATTCTGGAGAATTACTTCAGAGAATTCATCTTTTCCTAAGATTGGAAACTCAAGTTTAAAAAAAGGGAGAGATTGCAACAGACAGGAAAGCAGGAATAAATGAACATTTCTTTAGTAATATTTTAAAAGGTGTCTCCTTATCAGAATTGGACCTTTATCCTTTTCACCTCAAAAAACCCTTCAAACTCATTACCATCAAGCTGGAACTGACCCTCCGGTGGGTTTTCAGAGGCTGTAAATTGCAAGGAAGGAGATCGCTCATCTTTCTCCGGAAGAATTTCTAGTGGATTCCAACTGCCTGAGACACCACTTTGGACTAACAGGACGTCTCCAGCATTGGGCCATCTGAGACTGTTTGAGAAAGTCTCCTCATCAGACTGAAATTCAGTGTTGACGGTCGGCCATCCCACCCAACCATCCATAGCTTAGTCCCTCCATTTTTTCCACAGAAAGAAGACCTTTTTCGTAAACAGGACAGAAAACTTTAACTATTCCAAACCTTACCTAAACTACTGGTAGGTTTGCTCTGAACCATAAACTTTCCTCTTTTCTAGTTCTGTTTTCTCCTGTGTATGAGGTGCTGAAGCGAGGTATTTCCCCTGACACAGCACAGAGCCAGAAGGCCAGCATCCAGCTTCCAGCTCACGCAGACATCACAGAACCTCAAAGAGTCACCCCGGCACCCCCGGGCGCCCCTTCTTATCGACCTTTAACTCTAAAGCCAGGAGCTTTCTCGGGCCATGTATTCCCTGATGACCAAGCACCTAACCAGACAGACGTCGTCTCGAATGAAGAAAGCCGACGGCCTGCGATGACCACCCTTCTGCTTGGAGGCCACTCGCGTGAGCATGCGCATAGTCTCCACGTTTCTCCAGATCCTTCTGCTTGGCCCTAATTCACAAAGTGCTGAGTGGCATGAACTCCTCCCCACACCCTTGGCCTAACCTACAAACACCCCCTCAGAACCATCTCTGGCAGATACAGCATCAGAGAGCCCATACACCTGTCTCCTACATAACAGCAGATGTACTAAAACTCCTGCTTTCCCCACTAAAACAAAAAGATGCAACTGGCATCCTAGTGATGTCAGGGTTTACATATTGGGATACTAACACCAAGGTCAGCGGTTTGACTCCATGGGAGGAAGTTAGACAATCAGATCCCATTAAGATTATCGTCTCTGAATGTGGTTCGAATCCACCAGATGCTCAGCTGGAGAAGTAGAGGCAGCCTCTCTTGTGTCAGTCGGATCCAATTTGACAGTACACAACAACAACAACAGAAAAGAATAAGATTATAGTCTCTGACACCCGATGGAGGGACACCTGGCATCGGAATTGACTGATCTCATTAACATAATGAAGAAAATTGTATTTCCAAAACAGGATTATGACCTCTGTGCTGTTGTGTTTGTTGATGTTGTTAGGTACATTGAATACAACGCATAGGGACCCTATAAACAGCAGTTCTGAGCCCTGCCCTGTCCTGTGCCATTCTCACACACTTAAGCTCATTGCTGCAGTCACATTGTCAGTCCACCTGGTTGAAGGTCTTCCTCTCCTTCACTCTCCCTCCAAGGAGGAGTCTCTCCTTGCAACAAGCCCAAAGTAGTGAGACGAAGCTTCGCCATCCTTGCCTCCAAAGAGCGTGCTAGCTGCACCCTCTCCAAAACACATATGCGTAAAGAGAAAGCACACATCCCGGACACACACCTTTTCTTTTTTTAACTGTATAATTTTTTAATTAAATTTTTTTATTAATTTCGATGAAAATTTACAGA